CCCTGCTCATGGGAAACCTAGCATCTAGCTGTTAAGCAGCTCTCAAGCAGAATAACCACGTCCTTACCGTGGTGGAGCCCATGAAGAAGAATCTTAGGCTACAAAAATTTGAGCTCTCCATTGGTCTTTGGAAGACATTCACAAGCTTAAAACCTGGCCAGGGAAGGGCTGTGAAGGGAACACAAATCATATTTAGAAGAACTGGGTTCTCTGCTTCCACCACTTAGCATTGTGGCATCAGCTTTTCTCCACACCATTAAAAACTCTTTGCAGCCGGGCACTGGTGCCTCATGCCTGTCATCCTAGCTACTCAGGGGACCAGAGAATCATGGTTCAAAACCAGCCTGGGCAAATGGTTCATAAGACCCTATCTCATAAAAACCCATCACAAAAAAGGGCTGGTGGATGACTCAAGGTGAAGGCCCCGAGTTCAAGCCCCAGCGCCAAACAAAACAAAACAACAAAAAACCTCTTTACACGTACATTTTTTGGGCAAATATTTTTAACCTACTGTATTTTACTAACCAATCCCCCATCGCTCTTAGACAATCCAGTGTCTCCAGTTTGGTTGGTTTGTTTCGGGTTCATCGCTGTTGTTGTTGTTGGGCTCAGAGAGGATGGGTGAGTCACCGGAGTCACACAGTCAGACTGGAAAAGGAACTGAGAACCATCTGATTTCCAAAGCGTCATCTCTGGTCTATGGAGTGTGGCATTTGGGGGCTGTTCCTTTAGGAGAGGTCCCCAGAGGTGGAACTCCTGGATCCAAAGAGCTCGGTTTGTTGTTATCGATGTTGTTAGGGCTGTCAGCATATGCACTTGCAAACACTTTCTCCTGGTTTTTAAAATGTGTTTCTAGCAGTGACATACGCCACACTTCCCACACTGGCCCTTTTTGTAGAACCCATCTCTTTACTTCTGAAGTGCTGCCTTCCCACCCTGCCTCCTCCCCACTGCACGAAATCTCTTTATCCCTCATCCACTCAGCTGGCATTAATTATGCACCTATGATTTTCTCACCACATCTGCCAATGGGCAGCAGGTTCCTCAGTTCACTTACCTGACTGCCCAGGGCAGTGTCCTGGCTGAGTCCCTGAAGTGATACAAGAGTCTCACCACTGAGTTTGCTCTGACATGGGCTGGCCAGAGAGGGCCTCCATCTCCCTTAGGTGGCTAAGCCTCCCCTCTCCGTATGTTCCTTATCTTGCAGATGTCCCCAGAAAACCCCAGGGGCCTGAGTGACACCAGAAATATCAGAGTCCTGTCTTCTCAGCTCTGAACCAGGAAGCTCTTCTGTGGTTTTATTTGTTTGTTTTTGTTTCGCTATGTAGCCCAGGGCCGCCTCCTGCTTCAGCCTCCCCAGTGCTGAGATTAAAGACATGCACCACCACACCCAGCTTCTTCTGTGCTTTTGTCCATCCTGTGCTGAGTCCCCTCGCTGCACCTTCCTTTAGAGCCTTTTTCACTCACTCTGCTCAAGTCCTGTCCACCTTGGGGCTTCTGCTTGGCACTGGCCTGGAAACGCCACCTCCTTCCTGGGCTGGGGGAGTACTCCCAATCTCTTTCTTCTCCTCTATCCCCTCCCCTTCTTGATCTATCAGTTCCTAGAAAGTGGGACATGGCTCAAGATGATAATTTCGGGTGGCGAATGAATGGATTTAGAGTTAAGTAACACTGAAACATGTGGTAATGAAAGCTTAGATGAAGATTTTCTTGTCAATAGTATCAGTCCTTCTTTGAGCATTTCTGAATGGTTTTATTATTTTTATTATTTTGCGGTACTGGGGTTTGAACTCAGGGTTCTGCTCTTGTGAAGCAGGTGCTCTACCACTTGAGCCACGCCTGTCTATTTTGCTCTGGTTATTTTGGAGATGGGGGTCTTGCTTTTTGCCCAAACCAACTTCGACCAGGATTCTAATTTATGCCTCTCAGCTAGTTGGTACAATCAGCATATGCCACCATGCCCAGTCATAGGTTGAGATGGGGTCTCATGAATTTTTTTTGCTTGATCTGGCCTCGAATCACCATCCTCCCTCTCTCAGACTCCCAAGGAGTTAGGATTACAGGTGTGAACCCCCCAGCACCGGCTAGTATGCTTATTTTTCTAATTACCTTCTATTGCAGTCAAGCAATATAAACAGTCCCTGTATGTTTTAATGTTGTCTAAGTTTTGCATGTCAACATAGCTACCTAGTTTTACAGATGATTTATTTTTAAAGTAAAGCTTTTAAAAAAATCTTTTTCTTTCATTGCAATTTTCTTTTCTGAATTTTGCTCTCCTTGCTCAAAACAGCCTGAAAATCCCTCCGACTGACACGGGTCAATTTCTTTCTTTATGAGGGCTTTGTAAGATGCCATGCTGAGAAAAGACCATAATTTATTCAGCAGTTCTTCCATGAGTCGGCATTCACTCCATCTCCACTTTTTCTCTGTTCAAAAAAACTGCAATGGACATTTTTATGTTCAGGCACCTTCATGGTGTAAAGCAAATTCACAGGAAAGGGCAAAGGTTCCTTATCTAATATTATCTAATATTATTCCAGCAAAAAATCTAACCAACTTGAAATGTGAAGTGCAAAGCCCAGCAAAGATGATGGTCACCTTGTCGAGGAGGTCCTTGTGCTGCACTTGGCCCTTTGTGAATCAAGGCCCAGGTGGAAAGAGGGTTTGAAGTAGCTTTTACTTTTGTTTCTGCAGCACAGATGCTACAGAACACAAAAGCCATTGTCCTTTCTTGGAACAGGGGACAGGAGAATGCCTGTGACACAAAAAATTCAAGAACTTGAATTAAGCCACTTTAATAAACATTTTAATCAGTTGTCCTTGGAGTTGGCAGCTTCCTGCTCACTCTTCCATTCAGTCAGTCAATCAACAAACACTGCGTTGGGCACCCAGCATTGAGTCCAGGATTTCCTGGTCTGAGAGAAAACGTGTGCCTTTATGCATGAGAAAGTGATTTCACAGATGGAGATGATGCCAAACTGAGCTGAAACCTCCCACATACAAATTTGATCATACAGATGGTCAGATACACAACTGCACACAAACACAGCCACGATCATACACTAACACACAGTCACTCACACACACGCACTACAGCCAGCATTCCAGTCCTCCCTCTTGCCCCTCCCACACACATGCAGGAATATGGAGAACTACACTGGAGCACTGGGACCGTTGCTGTGGGAACCAGGATTCTTAAATCTGCACTTGTGTGCATCTGAATTCTTGCCCTGAATATTACATTTGCTGCAGTTTGTGTTCTGAATTCTGAGTCATTTCCCCTTCAGGGGTCAGGCTGGGCAGCCAGCCGGGGAGTTGGTGAGGGTGGGCAATTAAAGTCCTGATTACTTTCAGTCTGGGTGATGGAGTGGCCCGGCTGTGTCTGCAGGGGTGCATGCTCACGGGCTCTGACTGTGAAATCTTCCCAGGGGAAGCTACTAAAACGTACCGCAGTCAGGCTGAGTCTTCCACCTCTGTATCAGCCACACTGGACTGAGCTGTCATACAGCCCCAGATCTTCACCACTTAACACAATAAAGGTTTAGTTCTTACTCATTCAAAATCCAAGTTTGCATTGATTGCACCTGGAACCAGGGGCTTCTATGTCCCACAACAAGGAAGACACAGGTGTAGCAGGCTCACCACCTCTGTCCAGCCTTGAATGCTCCAGCCTAACTGCACGAGAAACAGGAAATGCACAGAGACTCATTTAGGAAACAGGGACTAGGTCCTGGCTCAAGTAGTAGAGCACTTGAGGCCCTGAGTTCAATCCCTAGTACCACCAGGCAGGGCATGGTAACCTGTAATCCTAGTTACTTGGGAGGCAGAGATAAGAGGATCAAGGTTTGAGCCCAGCTGGGATAAAAAGTTAGCAAGACCCTATCTCAAAAACATAGTGGTGCATGCCTGCAACCCCAGCTACTCAGGAGGAGAACAGAAGCCCAAGGCTGCACAGGCCTTTGATAGACAAAGTAAAGTGAAGGGGCTGGGGGCTTAGCTCAAGTGGTAGAGCACGTGCCTAACAAGTGTGAGGCCCTGAGTTCAAAAACGTCCAATACTACCAGGAGAAGAAGAAGAAGAGTATAGTATGCTATATGCAAACACCTTGGATATGACTGACCCTTAGCAAAGGTCAGTTTTTCAGTGTCTGAAAGCAGTTTGTAGGTCTGGGGATGTAACTGAGTGATAGAGCACTTGCCTAACATGCATAAGGCCCTAGATTCAATCCCTGGCATCACACGCACATGCACACGTATGCATGTGTGCACATGTGCAAAATAAATATCAGAGACAGAGATCCAGGCCAACAAGAGCAAAAAAAAAAAAAATACCATGAAGTAGACCCCATCTTAACAACAACAAACAATTAGGGCGTGGTGGTACATGCCTGTCATCCAGGCTACACGGGAGGCATAAATAGGATTGTGGTCCAGACCAGCCTGGGCAAAAAAAGATGTGAGAGTGTATCTCAAAAATAACCAGAGAAAATGGGGCTGAGGGTATGGCTCAAGTGGTAGAGCACCTGCTTATAAATATAATATAAATAAATGAATGAATAAATAAATAAATAAATAAACAAATGCACTTCATAGTCCAGTGGTTTCCAGGATCTACCAATTACCCTAAACTGTAGCATCAAAGTCTCCAAACAGAAATGCTTTCCTAAGTCCTCCCAGTTTCAAGCTTCCTCCCTGTGCTTGCACCTCACAGGTTGTCTTATTTCAGCCTCACAATACTTTTCCCAACAAATTCGGTCTCGCAGAGACAATCTATCCATCCATCCATCGTCTCATACCCAGTAAGTGGGATGCTGCCACTCCAACAGGTAAGAATTTCCTCTACTTTGAAGAGCGACTAAGGTCCCCAAGCTGAGGACCATATCTTTCCAAAGGTCTCATAAGGCCATGGCAAGCTCCATAGAGTGCCCCTGTCATCAAGGCACCTCTGAGACCTCCATGCCTGAGCTCACAAACTCACCTGGCTCTGCTGGTTTATTTCAGGTCTCCCCTCCCCAGCCCCGTCTGGCCAGCACAATACCAGCAGTGCAGAGAGCAGGCCCTTGAAGCCAGGTGAGAAAACGATCTTTCTGGGGGCCTCAAAGTCAGCTGAGACTACACAGGTAGTCTCCCGGATAATGAGAAGGGGAAGTGGACTTTCAGGGAGCCAGGGAAGCTCCTGGACTTCAGCCAACACTCCTCCTTCCTTGCCCAAGGGCTGAACTTCACCCCAGATTTCCCTTGAGATCTGAGAATATCAGGAGCCACTGCTAAGTCACATACGCATTTCTTGAGTACATGGAAGGGGTTGTGGAGGACAAGCTAGAAGTTCTTGGTAGGGTGCCGGGTGCCATTGGATCGGTCATTTGCTCAGCACATATTTACTAAGGACAAGTGCTATGCAAAGCCGTATGCTAGCACTGAGCTTCATTCTGGGCAAAAATGGGTGAGGGGCTCCCACAGGAAGGGCTCTGAGAGGGTAGGACCCACTCCTGATGCAGTGGTTGTCTTCTACCTGGTGGCCACCCCCCTCATGGGACCTCTAGGGCTGTGGTCACTGTGGTAGCCTCCAGAACAGTACATTTAGAGCAGCCAAGAGGCCTGGGAGGGACTCATGGGCCCCACTGGGCCAGGGCCCCTGTGCCAGAGCTCTCCCCTTCTGTCACAAAATGGTGCTCCTGGAGTAAGGGAACACATGGGATTTGTGGGACTGGACCTCTGGTTCTCTCCATCATCCCAGTCCTAACTCATTCTAATCTCTAAAGTCACTCTTGAACCCCATCATCTCCTGACTCTAGGAGACTCAGGCCTCAAAGAGGGTCCGAGGATAAGCCAACCCACCCCTTTTGCAGATTGGATGGCTGAGGTCCAGAGCCAAGCAGGGTGGTGGCCAAGATCACACACAGAGTCAGTGGTGGAGGCCCAGCCACTGCCCACCCCATTCCCCACCCTGGAACAGCGGAGTCTGAATACAATGAGGTCTCAGCTCACCTCTGACCCTTCCAGGAGAGCGGCTCGGGGTCCGCCTGGTGAACGGGAGCAGCCGCTGCAGCGGGACGGTGGAGGTCCGGCTCACCGCGTCCTGGGAGCGGCCCTGCGGGGCGCGCTGGGACCGCCACGCCGCGGAGGCCGTGTGCCGCGCGCTAGGCTGCGGCTCGGCGGGGACGACTGCCCAGCCCGGTCCGCCCACCCCGGAGCTGCCGCCTGGGCCCATGGCGGGGAACAGCAGCGGGACCCCGAACACCACGCGGCCGCTGGCACCCGCCATCCTGTGCAGCGGAGCTGATTGGCATCTCTGCGAGGTAGTGGAGCAGGTGTGCAGCAGCGACGAAAGGCCCGCGCAGGTCACCTGTGCAGGTAGGTGCCCGTTCCCCCCACCTACCCCACTCCTCAGGTCTTCAACCACTACCCCTCGCTCCAATCACTGCACCCAAGCCTCCTTTGTGCAAACACAACTGGGTCCCATAGCTGTCGTTTCCAGATCAAACATGTCCTAAGTTCTGACCTCCAGCCCCTCCCCTGGTAGATCTCCAGATCACCCACTTGGTCCCGCTTTGCTCCCAATCCTAACCCAGTGTTTGGCTCTACTTACTGGGCTCACCCCACTCCATGAGCCCCTTCCTGTTATCTCTGTGTCCGCCCCCTCCAGCCATATGCTTAAATATGCCAGGTTCCCAGGCTCCCTCGGCGCAGTGGCTTCCCTACCCCTAGACCTGCTCTTAAATCCCTCCCAAGGCCTCTCCAGCTACACCTTCCCCCCTGCCCCCACCCTCTGTCCAGTGCGGACCAACCTCCCTCCCCTCTCTTCTGGGCCTCTGGCCCACGATCCAAACCCCTCCCACCCTCAGAGAACCGCGCCCTGCGGTTGGTGGACGGTGGCAGCCCCTGCGCAGGCCGCGTGGAGATGCTGGAGCATGATGAGTGGGGTACGGTGTGTGATGACACATGGGACCTGGAGGATGCCCACGTGGTGTGTCAGCAACTGAACTGCGGCCCAGCAGTCCAGGCCCTGCCTGGCTTGCACTTCACCCCCGGCAGAGGGCCCATCCACCGTGACCAGGTGAACTGCACTGGGGCGGAGGCCTACCTGTGGGACTGCCCAGGGCTGCCAGGAGACCAGTATTGTGGCCACAAAGAGGACGCAGGCGTGGTGTGCTCAGGTCAGTGGGCCATGATCATACACTACACATTGCATAGGTCTACAGGATGCCAGGCCTGAGTTAGTGCTGGAGATATGATTGCTGCCCCTAGGAAGTCACTGTCCAGGAGAGGAGAGGAGACTATGCAAACATAATTCTAGGGAAAAAGGGGAGTCGAGTGGAGTTTGAAAATGGCAGAAATCCAGAACTGGAGGGATAAACCCATTTCCTTCCTGGACAAAGTGACATTAGCTGTGAGACTCTTCCTGATTGGAACTGGTCACCTGGTTTGAAACAACAAGAGTACTGAAGGCAGGAAGGCTCCCAGAGATCTATTGGGCTGTCCAGATGAGACCACAAGGTTCTGGTCCAGCCAGCACCTATCATTAATACTCACAAGAATGGCTGGATGGTGTTAAAATATAAATAGTGACCCAGTAGGGCTGGGGCAGAGCTGCAGATTCTACGTTTCTAACAAGATCAGGAATGATACAAATACTGCTGGTCCACTGGCCACACCCCGGGCACAGAGTCTCGCAGCAAGGCTGGCCAGCGCAAATGGGGAAGGCGAGGGAGGCACAGATGCAAGGCAGAGAAGATGCAGGATTGGCTGAATTCGTCTCTGCACTAGGGTTCTGGGTGGCAGGGATTTGGCCGAAAGCATCCTGACCTGAGTCTGTCTCCTGCCCCTTCCCTACAGAGCACCAGTCCTGGCGCCTGACAGGGGGCATTGACTCCTGCGAGGGGCAGGTGGAGGTGTACTTCCGAGGGGTCTGGAGCACGGTGTGTGACAGTGAGTGGTACCTGTCAGAGGCCAAGGTGCTCTGCCGGGCCTTGGGCTGCGGAAGTATGGTGGACCGGCCCAAGGGGCTTCCTCACTCCCTGGTGGGCAGGATGTACTACTCGTGCAGAGGAGAAGAGCCCACACTCTCGGAATGCTCCTGGCGTTTTAACAACTCCAACCTCTGCAGCCAGTCGCTGGCAGCCAGGGTCCTCTGCTCAGGTACCCTCCCCCTGCCCACCCCAAGCCAACTTCCCGATACGGACCAGGAATTCCACCTGAGTCTCTATCCTCAGCTTGCACTGGATCAGCACCAGCAAATACTGACTGAGGACAGACCATTGCTAATTAATCAGGACATTCTTTTCTGCAGATGCTTAACTCAGCCCTGGAATTACGAGTCAAATGTTTGTTAAGGCGTTATGTGCTAAGCAAGGGTCCTGTTGAGTGGAATTGACTTAGGAGATGAAGCCAATCTGCATCCAGGGCTGGTGCTCAGAGAAAAAAATGTGTTAGGAGGCACCAATATTAATACCCTAGGCAGCATCTGGAACCATAATCACGTGCCTGGCACGTCCAAAATCCTGAGACTCACGGTGTGAACAGGGCTCTATCACATTTCACCACATCTAAGATGTCACTGGTAATGAGTCACACCACTAACATCTTTACCATAAAGGAAACCAAATGTTGCCAAAATAAACTTTCCATGCTGCCAAAGGTAACGAGGCCGTTATTCCAATTTCAGAGGTGTCAAAGTATAGAAAGAGAGAGTTCCACCTGAATGTATGCGCTTACAAATTCCAGCTCTGCTTTTCATTGGCCTTGAGGCTTGAGACAGTCCCTGAAAGCTCTGTGGCTTCAGATTCCCAAATATAAGGATCCTGATACTAGCTACTTCTTCACAAAGTAGCTGGGAAATCAGATAGCATCTGCTAAGGAGCTTTGTAAACTCTACTCCTTTGTAAGCAGACCTGCCAAATGGGAGCTCAGTTATGATAAAGGAGCATAATGCCAGCTTCCTATCTCCTGAGGCCCCAACAAAGAACAAACTGGGGTGGGACATGGTGGTGCATGCCTGTAATCTCAGCTACTTGGGAGGATCACTGCCTTGAGGCTAGGAGAAGATGGAGAAGAGTGCCAGACTTATCTGAAAAAGGGCTGGGGGCTTGGCACTCAAGTGGTAGAGTGCTTGCCTAGCAAGCATGAGGCTTTGAGCTCAAACCAAAAGCAACCCTGAAGGCTGAGTGGAAAAGGTACTTGTGATCTGGAGCAGATCACACAGAAAGAAGGGCTAACTCTTCTAACTAACCAAAGTGCCTTCCCAGCCATCATCCAGGAGCTCCTCCTTAGTGCTAGAAATGGGGGCCAGTGTTCGCAGCCATTGCACCCACAGCCTAGTTCCAGGTTACTTGTTGGTCTTGTGCAGCTTCTAGCACAATGCCCAGCACACAGTAGGCACTTTGTAAATGTGTGGAGTGAAAACAGGTGGTGCTTCCTGACAGGCTCCCGGAGAACGCACAATCTGTCTGCTCCTGAGGTCCCTGCCAGCATTCAGCCAGTCACTGTAGGTGAGTGCAGCTTCTCCCCGAAGCTCCCATGCCTGAGTGTGTGTGTGAGTGTGTGTCTCCCTGGGGATGGACCAACGGGTTGTCCTTCCTCCCCCATCCCTAGCCAGTGAACTGGAGCCCTGGCAGCTCTCTGGATGCTTCCCTTCTTTTCCTCCCCACTACGGCAGACCCCAGACTTCAGGTGTACCTTTCTCACTCCCCTGTGAGTTCCCGCAAGGCAGGACGCTAGAGTTGAGAGGCTCTAGCTGCTCTGATGCCACCTCCAGTGGGGCACGCCTGGCCCACTGGATGCCAAGGGCACCAGCCAGTGTGTTTGCAAGGTTCTGAGCACTGTTCACACACTGTATCACCATTATTTTCTAAGAGAGTCCTCTTGGAGCCAACAGAGAGAGCTCTCACTATCCCCTAACTCGGAGGAAAAGCTGAGGCCAGAGGTTAAAGTGACGGTGCAGTGTCAGCCCAAACTTGCACCCCTGGCTTTGACTCTAGACCTGCACTCAGTGTGTGGCCAGCAGTGCACAGGGTGGCCAGCAGCTCAAATCCCAGCTGTGCCTTTTTTTTTTGGAGGGGGGGACAGTGCTAGGGTTTGAACTCAGGGCCTCACACTTGCTAAGCAGGCACTCTACCTTTTGAGCCACTCTACCAGCCATAACTGCAGCTGTGTGATGTTGGGCAGGTCTTACCTTCTCTGAGTTTCAGATTCTTCAATTTCAGGGGAATGATAATCACTGTTCCTCTCTTTTGGTGCTATAGTGAAGCTCCAGTGAGTTCATTTTATAAAGTGCTTGGAACAGGGTCTGTGCTCTGCAAGCACAGTTCAAACTCAGCCATTCTTATGGTTATCAAGGGCTATACAGACCTTTGGGAGACTCAAGGGCCACAGTCTCCCCAGAGGCCCTGTCACAGATGAGGGGCAGAGAGAATGCGAGCTCTGGGAACTGCACAGGCTGTAGTACGAGGCCTGCAGAACCCATGGCACCAGGATTCTTCTTGGGGTCCAGGTGGGAAGCCTTCCCAGAAGAACAAAGAGAGACCAGGCTACCCAGGACCATGCCTGGCCCCTGGTCAATCAGCCTTTCCCTGGTCCCCAGACCCATGGGGCCCACACTCACTGGCCTCCTGGACCCCCCACAGCCCAGCCTCTCCCTTACGTGGCTTCCTGTGTTAAATCCAGCTTCTCATTCTGATCCAAACTGCCCCTCAGCAGAAAAACAGGGAGGGAAAAAAGTGAGGATGAGGAGACGGTCATCCCTCGGGGGAAACAGACACAGCTGCAGCCTCTCACCTGCCTGTCATCCAGAGGAGGCCTGTGCACCCAGGACTTCCGCTCTTTGCAGTTGTCCATCATAGGCTCCAGGCACCTCCTGGCAGCAGCCTCTGTCCACGTTTGTGCTTCACACTCCTTTAAGCAGGGGGTGAGGCTGGGAGGAAGGGGCAGCCAATCTAGGGTGGAGGCTACTGAGTTGGGAGGCCCTGAATCACGAGCCTCACACCTGCCTTCATGAAATGGAAGTATGGTGGGAAGGATGGGTCCTGGGCACAGAGAGGGGATCCAGCTCTGGATGGTGTATTTGTTGCAAGAGGTGGCTCATAGTCACCTTTGGGGAAACCAGCCTTGGGTCCTTCCCGTAGAGGGTATTGTGTCCCTGGTAAGGCCTCAGGTCCCCAAGGTCCCTATCCAGACCCATGTCACAACAGAAGTCTCACCATGATGGAGTGGGTCTACTTGTCAATCTCCTCTCGAGCCCCTCAAGGCCTAAAGTACTAGGTACACCCAGGATCTAATGCCTGGCACACAGTAGGCACTCAATAATTGTCTATTGAACAAAGATGTGGTACTGAAGGCCAGCAGAGGGAAAGCACTATGGGCTGGTAGCCATAGGAAAGTTTCAGAAAACAAATTCATTTAGTCAGTTAGTCATTCAGTATGCATTTATTGGGCACTTACTATATACCAGGCACCTAAAAGCAGGTGTGGAAACTTGCAAAAAGGAAAGGAGGAGGAACTTGGGTGAAAAGGGAAGTGAGTCCACTGTAGACAGGATGGAAAGTCAAGGGAAAGAGTGAAGAGAGCCCATGTCCATTTCCTTTTTCTCCCTGAATTGGAGTTCTTGTTTCCAGAATCTCCTATGATAGTGAAAATGGAAGACAAGGAATCACGGGAGCTGACACTTCTCATCCCCTGCATCATTCTGGGAGTTCTCCTCCTTGGCTCTCTTATCATCATAGTCGTCCTCCTCTTGAGAGTTAAGGGAAAATACGGTAGGTGTTTGTTCTGGGGGCCATGGGAAAGGTACAAGAACAGGAAGCAGCAGGCCTGAGGTGCTGCCACCCCAGGGGCATGGCAACCTTGGTGGAACTCCAGCAGAAGCAGCGTGACCCAGCTGAGGACACCCAGCCCTAGCCCTGGGGAGCTCTTCCCATTGATGGGAAGGATTTTCCCAGCATGCCCAGCAGAAGTAGACACACTAGTGTGGGTCCCTGGGCAGGCAAGACACACTGTGTGTGTGTGTGTGTGTGTGTGTGTTGGAGGTGTTGACAAGGCAGGTATCTCTTGAACCCAGAACCCAGTAGACTGGGAGAATGCAAAAAAAAAAAAAAAAAGACTTGACTCTCTGCCTCTCTTTCCCCAGCCCTCCCTGCTACAGTGAACCACCAGCACCTTCCTTCCATTACCCAACAGGGATCAATAGCTATCAAGCTGTCCCCATCGCCATCAGCGTCCCCAAAGAAGAAGGTAGGACATTACCCATGATGGGGAGCAGGACAGGATCAGCATGCTGAGGTGCCCAGCTGAGAGGAGCCCTGAGCTGCCCACACACAGCTCTGCCACCTTGCTCAGGATGTCCCTCTCTGGCCTGATGGGCAGATGGTCTTTCTGTTTAGTCCTAGGCCCCTAGGCTTTGGAGTTCTGAACAAACTCAAGCCAGGGCATTTGGGTGTTGGTTCTCAGAGGAAAGCTGGCTCGTATGTTTGTGATACTGCCGCCTCAATCAGTGTCCTGCCCAATCAGCTGTTCTACAGAGCCCTTCTTCAGGATTCTCCTGAACCTAATTATATTAACAAAAATGGGATGTACCATCTATCCTTTTGTTCACATGACTGTAGACCTCTTGAAAGTCTTACCAAGGAGTTGAATCATGTTGCAGTATGAATGTATGAATATATCCAAGGGTTCGTGATGTGAGAACCACACAAAACTTAGCCAACCAGTGTCAGCAGCCTGCGTATAGTACACAGGTGTGTGAGAAGAGACCATGGACACTGCATCTTGCCCAGGCTGAGCACAGAGCAGTCACTCATTGAATAGTGTAATCTACAAGTTTAGAGTCAAATAAGGTGAGAGCCACTCTGTGCCTCAGTTTCCTCAGCTGTAAACCAGGGATAATGGTATACTCACTTCACAGAGTTCTTACAAGGGATAAATGTGATAACAATTGTAAATGTTAGAATAGTGCCTGGCACATAGTGAGTGCTATGTGTTGTGTTGGCTAAACAAATAAATGTTTAGTTCCCATATTTGAAATGAATGTGGCAGGGGCAGGGGGAGGACGTGGGACGTTCAGGTCACATGGTCCTGTATGAGATGGGCCACCTGGCATTCTCCCTGCTACTCTGTCTCTGATCCCCTCCATCTACACTCTTGGCCCCTCTCTCTGTGTCTTCTTCCCAACACATTGCCACGATCCCCAGGCCCACTCTGTTCTCTCCCCAGTTCCCACACTGTCCATCCAGGTTCGGGCTCCAGGCCCTGAGGACTCGGACTCCAGCTCAGACTCAGACTATGAGCACTACGATTTCAGCGCCCAGCCTCCCGTGGCCCTGACCACCTTCTACAGTGAGTTCCTGGGCTCAGTGGTCCTACCAACGGCCCACCACTTGAATCAGGGAGAGGGCCAACCCACTGACCCTTGCTTGGTGTGGGCAGAATTCTCCTTGGTACCCACTGGATTGACTGTAAATGGCTTTACATTGAAGTTTTCAAAGTGCTTTGTGATGCTGGAGCCATTTCTACTCTGACCTCTGTCTCTCCCATGTTTGTCTCCATGTTTTCTCTGGCCATGTAGGATCTGAACCTGGTTGAACCAGGTCCTCAACATTCACCTAAAGGTGACTATGTCTGTAGATACAACACAGTTGTGTCTACACTGTTGTGCCAGTTCACTCCTCTCAGCTGACTCATCCAGCTCTTCCCTCTGCCTGCTGGGAATGGGATGAGGGAAGATGGCACCTGGGCAACGTTGGGTGGTTAGACTAGACCAGAGGGTCCCACACCTATTGTGGAATCACTTGGAAGCTTGAGAAATTTCCAAGCCCCACCCACAGCTGCTGCATAAGTTAGGATGGGAATCTAGCTGTGTCTCACGCAGAGACCCCTTCCTCCCCTACCCACCCCCCGCCCCGCCACCTGCCATGGCAAAGCCCTGAGAAATTGGTGGAGGCCCAAGCTCCTGCATTCATGCTGCTAGGCAGTCTTTAAGATGTTGTCCTCACGCACATGGTGCAGAAGGACTCCCCACCGTGTCCTCATTTCAGCTGGCAGGATGCCCAGAATCAGGCATGCTCCACTCACACCCCACAGTCCAGAGCAGAGGCTTACGGGCTGCAAGAGAGGCAGGGCAGTGATCCTCCATCCTGGGCAGCCCTATGTCAGACACAGGCGGGAAAGTGTGGCTTTTGGGAGTGGTCATCTGTCCCTGTACCACCTGCTGACTCAGGGCCTCAGGGCGGGACAAGAGGATTCCACCTCTGCTCCTCCCTGGACAGGTGTTTAGGAGTCACAGGAACCAGATGTTCTTAGAGCCTGCACTCACGAGGAATATGGAAGGTGCAACTCTGAGCTCCAAATCCTGTTATTGAGACTAAAAGTCCAATAAGTTCAAGTTCCAAGGAGCCGACTCCCAGATTCCAGACACCCATTTCCTTAAGGCTATGAATGTCCACCTCTCTGATTCCAAGATTTGAAGCTGCCACAGAGCCTGTGGCAATAATTCCAGGCCAGGCAGCTTCCACTCTAGGCTCTTCTATGGCAAACATTAACCCTTTCCAGAGCTGCCAGGGCACGAGGAAAGACCCCAGACTGATACACCCATAAGTGGCAGGAGAGGCAGTGAACTAGGGGGAAATGTGCAGGGCACTTCTGGTCAGAAGCAGCCTGAACTGGTGCTGACCTCAGGCTAGACCTGTGTCTGCCCAAGACTGAGGATAGGTCTGCTGGATTAGGAGAGGAGCCTGGGACCTGATGGAAGAAGGCTGAGTGTGCGCTCTCTCTCTCTCTCTCTCTCTCTCTCTCTCTCTCTCTCTCTTTCTCTCTGTCTGGAATGGCCTCCATTCCAAGGAACCTGCCCCTCCTCCAGGATCCCAGGACAGGACAGGAGGTTGAACACCCACGCCCCATTCCCATTTCTTGCAGATTCCCAGCGTCACCGGGTCACAGAGGAGGAGGCCCAGCAGAGCAGGTTCCGGATGCCACCCTTGGAGGAAGGTAAGTCGGGCCGGGAGGGGTCTTGGAGGGAATGAGTAGGACACCTGCTCTCTCTTCGGCTTACTTTGGGACATAGCAGCAACCTCCCTCAATGGGTGCTTCCTGATTTTAGCAATTCTCATAGGCCACAAATTCCTCCTGAAGTCTGATTTAAAGCCCTCTTGTTGCATTGCTGCATTGCTCCTCCTTCTCCCTTTCCTGCCTAGGCGTTGAAGAACTGGGTGTTTCCCATGTGCCGGTTGGGGACCCCAGACCCTCCATTGCAGACACCCCCTCTCTGGGCCCTCAGTATCACACAAGGAGCATCAGTGGATCTAGCACATCCTCTGGGGAGGATTACTGCAACAGTCCCAGCAGCAAGCCACCTCCGTGGAACTCCCAGGTGTTTTCTTCAGAGAGGGGTCCCCTCCTGGAGCAGACTCCCAACTTGGAGCTGGCTGGCTCCCAGGGAACTTTTTCAGGTAACTTTGTAACCCCTATGCCCCCACCTTATAGCCAACCCCTCAGCTGGAGGAAGCTTGAAATTGAGAGTCCCTAGCTAGGCTGAGCTCAGTATTCCAGTCCCAGCTCCGAAGCTGTTTGCTGTGTGTCCTTAGACAAGGTTCCTCCGCTCTCTGGGCTTTCATTTCCCCATTTGTCAAGCTATGACTTGGCTCTCCTGAGTCCTGGGGGCCTCCCAATTCTGATAATTCCTGACAGAGGGTGATTGGTTCTGGGGTGTTCACAGGGCCTTCAGCTGATGACAGCTCTAGCACCTCATCCGGGGGGGAGTGGTACCAGAACTTCCAGTCACCACCCCAACCCCCTCTGGTGGAGCAGTTTGAGCAACCAGGTACTGGGGCAGGGGAGAGGGTCTTGGGAGAGTGATAGGGGTGTGGACAGGTGGGGATGGATCCATTGGTTATGTCAGCCCAAAGGGAAAAGGAGAGAGGAAGGGGAAAGAAAGAGAGGGAAGGAATTTAAAATGTATGCCTGAGGAGCTGGATAGAGAACTATTAAGAGATTGCTATGAGAAGAAGTGAGCTCCCCATTAGGGGAGGTATTCAAGCAGAAGCAGCTGGGTGGCCATGTGTGGAGGCAGTGGTAGCAGCACAGAGTCCTCCACCATGTGCTCTATGGTGGCGTGGGGACCTCAGCCCTGAGTCAAACAAACAAGGCTCTGCCCCCACACTCTGGCCAGGGGATACAATGGTTCATGTGGCATCCTGGGAGGAGGGGGATAGGGACCCAGCCCTGCTCACTCTGCCCAGGCAGTGACTGAGCCTCTCCCTGACCTGAGCATCCTGGTCCCACAGGGTCCCCCAGCCCTCAGCTGGACTCCACTGATGAGGACGACTACGATGACATAGGAGCAGCCTAGTCTGAGTCCAGCAAGGCCCTGGGTGCTCTGTCCCTCTGCCCTCCTGCTCTCCCTACCCCCACCTCCATCATCTCCCATGGGGCCAAAGCCCCACTCCCACCCCCAGAGAGATGGAAAGAAACTCCACCTCAGCTGCTCAGCCTCCATCCATCCATAATCCTGCTGCCACAGGGCCCGGGACAGCGGCCCTGGATGGAAGGCCAACCCTAGGGTGTGAGCTGTTGAGTAGGTCTGGTCATCTCTCAGCAGCTATTGGGGAAAGGGGGAATTCACACGAACTGAATGACTCCAAGGCTCCACTGACCCTTGAGTGTTGAGTGCTTTGATTCTGAGTCAGGCAGTTTGGGACCTAGAGCTACTAACAGGAACCCATCCTGGTCCCATACCAGGTATATGTGCTGGATGGAGCACACGGGCTGACCTCTTCTTTTGATCATGTGGTTCTGCATCTGGCAGAGAACATGACCTTTCTGGTCACTAACAGCTGACAGCAAACGAATGACCATGTGTCCTCCATCAAGGAGCAGGTCCTGAAGCCAGTGCTGTCACCAGAGACCCTCAGAGCCCACCTTGGACACTGGCCTGTTCTGCTGACTAACCCTAGACAGCTTAGCCTTCTGATGGTTTACACAGATGGTCCCAAGCCAGCCCTCCATGACTCCACCATTGGAGACCAAGTCCCCAGTTGTCTACCAGGAAGGGCTAGAGGCTTCACCAAGCCCTGAGTCCCCATGAGTCTGCTTGGATTGCTGGGGACACTCCCAGATGAAAACAATGTTGCACCCAGGACGGTAAACATGCTCTCCCATAGCCTCAGAGAGGTCCAGGGCCCTTAGGCCAGGCTTGGGTGGCCTGTTCTGAGTGTCCTGAGATTAAATAATTGCTGAGTGAAATCAGGCTGTGGAGTGACAAGTCTCTGAACTCTCGAAGAACCCAGGTTTTGTGTGCATGTGTGTGCATGTATGTATGTGTACGTGGCATGCATGAATTTCCCTCAGCTACAGAGGAGACATTTATTAGGGAAATGTCCCAAGGGAGCCAGTAAGAATGAGGACAAGAGACAGCCCAGCAGAGATGGAACATTGTGCTTACAGGCGGCTGCTGCCATGGATCTGGGACTCAGTCAGTCCTGAGGGGACAAACACTTTAGAACTGACCCACCCAGATGCAGGGAAGCTGGACTTTCGGTCCAACTATTTCTTCCTGTCTTTGGTTGGAGCAACCAAGCTCCTCATTCCATCACGTACATTTAGAGCTACCTTGAGAGGTGAGCTGAGGGGCTCACCCACAGAATCAGGTGCATCCTGTAAGAAGTCAACTTCCTGGAAATGTCCAGGGGACCCAGTGTGCCTGTGCAAGCCTGTCCTGTTGTTTGTGGGCAATGTTGGAGCTGCTTTTATCCATTTAGGCAGAAATGTCAGGATGCAGTCAAGGAAAACGATGGTCAGTGATGCCTGGCAAAGGGATTGTGCAGGAGTAGGAGGGGTGGGGAGGGGTTGTTAGCTGGAGCCAGGCTGGTAAAGACAGAGGGGACTCTGGACATCTCTCCACCCCCAGGCCATCCGCTGCTCACTCAGAGGGTGTGATTTTAGCTCCACTGCAGTGGCCAATGACCATCTCTACCTGTGGAGTATGCATTGAGTATTGGGGGCCCAGGTTCTCTCTAGAGTCCACATGGTAGGGGGGGCTGGGCTGTGGATGCCAGAGGGGTGCGGCTGCTTTCTGCTGGGATCCCAGTGGTGCAGAGAAGCAGGTGCTCCCCAGGGCAACCATTCTAGGATGTGGTTGCTTGTGATGCAAGCACCTACCCCACACACACACCAACCCTCCTCAGTGCTAGGGGGATTCCTAGGGGAGGAGCCACTGCTGAGATGGGTGGGGCTTCAAGCCTGTTTTGACAGACTGGGTCAACTCCCTGCTCCACCTTGTCCTGGCTGTGTGGCCTCAGGCAAGCCACTCATCATCTCTCTGCTCCTTTGCTTGCTGTAAGTTTGGCTGTACAGTGTGTATAGCAGAAGTAGGCAACTCACAGATGCTGGTGAGGGTTGGAGGCCAGTGACGAGTGTTCTCTCATTGGCGGATTAACATGTGACAGCTCTCCTCAAAGAGAGGAAGCAGAGAAGAGACACGGAGGCTTGGGCAGAAAGGACTTGTCCAAGGTCACTAAGATAGTTGATAGTGAAGTCACAGTTCAGCCCCACTCCTTCCCCATCCCCCAGTCCTCAGAAAGACTGACACCTAATGAATCCCCATTTCTCTAATCTCACCAGAACCCTCTTCCTCACCCCAGTACCCTTCACAGTCCAGGAGAAATGGAGAATACTGATGTCTCCCTTGTCCCTTCCCAGTCCCTGGGCAGCCTGGTGACACACAGCAGGGAGACTGATGTCTGAGGGCAACCACAAGGCCTGGAGAAGGTAATGGGGTACACTCACAGAGGGCTTCCCTATATCTGTGTTCTCCACCCCACCCACTTGGACTTGGTTCCATACTGGGCCTGGGAAGCTATGATGACCTCAGGCTTTGACCTGAAGGAGTGCCAGGTTGGCAGGAAAGTCACTAACACAAGCTGCTTCCCCTCACTCTTAGGGGCCTTGAGTTGTAATATCTGGGAGAGAAAATATACAGATGTTGAATGCAGATGGCAGCTGAATTCCGATTTCAGAGACAGTGACATGGGGAAAGGGTAGTGTGGAGAATGGGGACAAGCCCCTGATCCAGCTAGAGGGGACAGCCTCCCTCGTTGGTGAGTCTAAGTGGATTATAAGAATGCGCAGAACAGGGAAGGACAGTTCAAGTGGATGGGAGAAAAGATGGCAAGAAACTGAGGCTGAGGCTAGTCCATTTCAAACCAACACTGTTTGTGGGTGAGGAAAGTAAGGCTCAGAGAAGTTAAGAAGAATGCCCAAGGTCCCACACTAAAACACAGTGTGTCTGGCTCCAGAGGTTGAGCATTAATTGTGTCGTGTGCAGTGGCAACTTGTTCCTGTCCCTGTGCCACCAGAGCCCCACCACTGGGTCCAGCCTGAGTTCCTGCCTACCTCTGTGGCCAGAAACATCAGACACCCTGCAAGGGCAGGGAGAGAATGACACAAGTTGTTCACCCACAGCACAGGCTGCCACACTCTGGGATGCTGGGCTTAGGACACAGAATCACTCACTGTCTGGGTACCCTCATAGAGCCAGGCCATGTGCCAGGGTCTGGGGGCACAAGCAGGAATGGAACTAGGCCTTTGCCCTTGGAGACTTTGCAGTCTGGGGACAATGGCAGTGACCAGCCACTGCAGTATATCACCCTGGGCTGTTGTTGGTGATGATAATGGTGACAATGACAGGAACACATAGCATTTAATATGCTACACCTGTAAGATGTTATTTTGTGTTATCCTCAAAAGGGCACTTTGAGAAGGTTCTCTCCTCTCCATTTATAAGTAAGGAAACTGAGGCCCAGAGAGGTTAAGTAACCAGTCAGAAGTGATGGGAGCTGAATTCTCTGCTCTCTGAGACCTGAGCGTTGTTCACACGTAGGCATCTTGCCACACTGGGTAGGACTGGAGTTTCTAAAATATTCATCTTTGTAAGAGGTAGCCCTGGAACCCAAGCCCGCCGTTGGGAGAAACTTCCTGACCGAAGACAGCACAGCACAGACTCAAACACAGGCACCTTTCCCAGGGAATATCTTTTCTCCTTCTGTGCTCTCCCTTCTCCTACTATAGCCTATCCTCCTTCTTTTCCTCCCCCTACCCCTGTTCCCCCGCCTTTTCTCTCTGCCAGCCCTCCCTTTCTCTCTTTCAAGTGGGAAATCCTAGAAAGTGAAGCCATGACTCCATATCATCGAGATTTCATCCCCCATCTGCCCTGCCCATTCCCCCCCAGGTAAGCTATTATTTTTCTGATGCAAACCTAAGCAAATAAATACAGATACCTCTTGGGGCCCGGCCCTTCTGACACACAACAGGTGTTCTAGGCACACTCTTAGGGACCTGCTTCTCTTCTCTTCACTTCTGAAGATATTATAGAGAACTCTCCTACGGGCTTCTCAAGAGGAATGCTGATCAGATTCAAGTTTTGTTCCACTTGCCCTCCTTCACATGGGACTCCACCATACTGTTGCATCCGCTGTGCAGACAGGAAGAAGCCACTAACTGCCCGGGCTTGTTGAGAAAGACATGACAAAAGAGGAGACAACTGACCTGGCTATTGAAGGATGTATAAGAGTTGCACTAGGAGTTTGCTGGATGGAAAGGGAGGAGGACGTTCTCAGTGGCAAGGGCAGAGGGTCCATGGATGGGAGACCACTGGGGTGCATCTGGAAAGCTGTGTAACTTCCCCAGGGGAGTATGGTCCTTGTCCTAGAGGTGTTGGGAGGTGACCAGTAGTTTCTAAGGCAGGGAAGTGATCTGGTAGAACAAGATGGGAGGTTCTAGAAAGTGAGAGTAGTTTGAGAGGCTGCAGCCTGCAGGGAAAGAGGCAGATTGGGAAGTGGCCATGGAGCACAGGTGCCAGGACTGGGAGGTGGAGAAGATGGGACAGATGACAGAAATCTTCCGGGATTTGGAGAGTCATACAGACATGGGAGATGATTTTCTAACCCAGCAGTCCCCAGCCACTATGACACAGTGATGACAGTGGCATTAATAATGACAACTTCAGGCTGTTCCGAATGCAGGAAGATTTCAAGTTTTTGACAGACCTGTCCACTCACCATGGTGTGGCCAAGCCCTGGCTGCCACTCCACGTGGCCTCCCAAAGGTGGAAATGTCCTTACTAAGGGTTCACTTCTGTGCTGAATGCCCAGCTAGAGCTACAGGCCCTTCCGAAGGCTCCACAATTAATCTAAGTCTTCCAGATGTCTGGGAGAGCCGCAGGGGATGAGGGAAAGAGGCTCCAGACCACTTATTCCACCAGGGGCCACATGGATAGGATCTGAGGCCACTCCACTCCCCCAGGAAGCCCAGACCTGGGCCTCCCTTCTCTGGCAGAGTATCACTGGCTGGCACCCAATCTTCTCCATTGGAAACTTCACCTGTGAGGTACACCTGCCAAGCTCTACATCTCTCCTTATCTCCCCATCTGTGGTTTCCACTTCTGCCCCCCTTCACAAAGACCCTCATGATGGTTCTGGAGGTGGACAGAGGTGGCTAGAACCCTGTGACCACTCTAAATGGATCCCTGTTAGCTGTTGCCTCAGGTCTTCAGCCTGGCTTGGTAAAGAGGAAATGGAGTCTCCCTGCAGGGAGGTTCAGGGGAGCCCCCACAAGGAAGAGGCAAATTCAAAGTGGCCTCAGTGGAAAGTTCATCTCCCACCACATCCTTCAGCTGTTTACCAGCTTTGCGGGACTCTGGCATCCTGACATGAAAGGAGGCTCACCCTGCACCACCATCATGGAGGAAGGACCAAAATAGCAGCTGATGAAGACAAAGAAAGAGAGAAAGATAAGCGTGGGGAAAAGATAGAGGGGGGAAAAAAGAAAGACGGTGAGGCAAGGTACATCACAGTGGCCTCAGTCCTCACAACCTCCAGGGCTGCAGAGCATCCTGATCTCCACTATCTTCCATGTATGAAAGCTGAAGCCCAGAGGCCATGGGATGAGTTCAAGGTCACCCAGTTAGGAGGTGAGAGGCTCATTCACACTCACAGCAGAAAGGGAAAGAAAACGCTGGTTGGTGAGGGGTGGATAGGAAACCCAGGGGGTAAAAGGATTATCCCCCTCAGCCCCCAGAATCCCAGTCCATCTTGACTGAAGGTGGATACCCTCCTCCTCCAAGCCACCAAACCCCAGCTCCTCCCACTGGCCACCCCCCAAGTTATGGAAGGGAGGGGACTTATTCCCCAGAGCCAGGGGTTCTGCCTGAGAATCATTTCCCCCTGGAGTGACCTGCT